CATATGATGGACTGGTTTTGCCAGCACGATGAATGTCCAGCTGGCTGTGGCTGCCACTGTCTGCTGCAGAGTACGTTCTGATGGGGTTCAGCTTAATTTCTTCATTTCAGGACACCTCAGCGACCTCAGAGACATGATCACAGAGTGTTTGAAGTACAGTGTAACCTAACAAGAGAGGTCGATGTTCGCCGTCAAATTTGCGCACCCGCGTACAAATATGACAGCTAAGCTATCGGATTTGTATGGCCGTCAGATTTGTGTGCTGTTATACAAATCTGATAGCTAAAGCGATGGGTGAATTCTGTCGGATTTGTATACCGTGAATGATGCTAAAGGCATACAAATCCGATATTCTACCTATCGTGTTTGTGTTCCTAGTAGTTTAATACACATTATAGAATATCTCATAGGTGAATTCTACCTATTGGATTAATATATTAGTTTAATACATGGTTTACAAATGACATCAGTAATACCTTGTACAGCAGGACACACTGAGCAAGTACTTTGGCAACAAACTGCCTTTTAGCGGAAAGAAATCTTCAGGATGTCAAGTATATTTTATTAAGTAACAAAACACATTTATCTCAATGAATTTTAGAGTTTCAAATAAAAACATGCCTTGTCAAGGAGAGAGAGAGAGAGAGGCAGAGAGAGAGAGAGAGAAAAAGAAAGAAAGAAGGAAGAGCTGGGTAGACAACATCAGGGATCAGGTCTTGCAGTTCTGGAGGAACAGGAATCGATGAGGTGAAGACGATGCAGGAACTTGTGGAGAAAGAGGAGACAAAAAGAATTTAGAAAGAGTAAACACAGTTGTTTGATAATAAATGGCTTGACCCAAGGCACTAACCATGAGTGAAAGAAGAGTTCATTTATATTCTCTGAAAAAAATGGCCAAGAAATCATACATTCTGCCAGGGGTATGTAAACTTATGAGCACAACTTTCTGTCTGTGTGTGTGTAGACACTTTTCGTGTTAACGAATGTCTGCGGTGTGGACGTATTTCAATATATCTGAAAGAAAGACCCACCGTTGGTGAAAAGTCCACTCATAGAGTCTGTCAGCACACGTTTCACTGAGGTCTATTCAGATCCCCTTCACTCATCGCTTACTGTACTTGAGCCGCGTTATAAAGATCATTACTTGGATGCAGAAATAAAGCAGCGCGCACGAGAAATGATCCGGGCCAGGATGGATAGCCCTAGGTAGGCTATTCTGACTTACTATGTGACTATCAGTTGATTTTATTTCTGTGCTTGACAATTATTAATTCATTATTTATGATTGATTTAAGCAATCACAGTGCCTTAATTTAGTAGACGGTCATAGCAATAAATGCAATGGTATTAATTGGAATAATATTTTTTTTCTCAGCTTTCTGCCTTGGTGTCCTCATCCAAACTTGCCTTGCTATCACGAACAAATCCAATAAAATTAAAACACTCCCAGAAATGTCTGTAACTGCAAGCTTATGCCCCAAAACAT